AATTTTCGAATAAGAATGAGTCGGCAATTTTTAGTGGAGTCGAAAATTTGGAGGTAAATAAAACACCGAAACCCGGCAAATAAATAGGCGGTCAAATTTTTAGAGGGGTCGAAATTTTGGAGTTTTCGCGGTGCTAATTATTCCATTTCAATGAAACTTAGTACAAAGATGCTCTAGGACAATGTACAAACCTAATTAGTTTGGGGTAAAAATCTGTTCATATTAATTCCCTAATAAGCATAATAATTCATAATTTTTTGGTTCTAATCACATTTCAATTAAACTTGGAGACATAGATTTTCTGTTACATTGCGCAGACCTCATTAGTTTTACACTCAAATCTGGTCATATTAATTTTCTGATTTGCATAATTAGTTTTCAGCTAAGTAATTTCGAATTATATTTAATGTGTCTCCAATACTCTCAGCACATGGGAGTTCTTTCTAAGCTTTCTTTGATTTTTATTTATTTTTCCATTTATCACACTGTATCCACAGTTTGTTATGTAGCACAAAGTATTAAATGTTGCCGCTGAAGGCAACGATAATTATAATCTGTGTTTAAATGCTATCGTAACGCAATTTATTTTTTAGCCCTACTACAAGTTTGAATTTGACTATTGTATTGGAACACTTCAGGTCACTTTAAAAACGTTGCTTTGCAAATAAGACACGTAGAAGTCAAAAATTTGTAGTAAGGATTCAAGGATTATGTAAATTGTACTGATTTGGATTAATTTTGACAACGTCTGCTTGTTTGGATATTTGTAAAAGAATCTAATATTTTGATTTCCGTTTGTTTTGTATGATTGAGTAAAGTCACACTTTGTTTCTCTATTTAGTGTTGGTGTATGCCAGTAACGTCCCAAGTTATGTACAGATATAAAAGTCATAGTTTTCTCATCACTATTTTATTATTTACATTTTTATTTTATACTATTTCTAGTTCTCTCATTCTACTACCATTACCCATCTTTCCTTGGCTCCCTATGCCAGTCGTTCCAGACAAAAACGTGAAATTGAATAACCTATACCAGTAACCCAGTAATTGGATGCCCCTTCCCAGATTCTGGTTTATTATGATTTAAACAAAGTTTTTTTTTTTTCAATGATTTTTAAATATGTGTATATTTGTAATTTTCGTCATAATTGATGAAATTGTTGAGATCCCATTCCAGATATAAGATACTTTAGCTCAAAAAAGAGACCCACGTCTGGTGTATACAGCTTTCTGATTACAATATACTTTTAACGTTGCAATCAATTCCTGAATATTTGTGACTCCATTCGTATTACGATAATATGTTTTGATTTTCAATAAATCATGTTTTCCATTTACACTAATTGAATAAAGAGAATAATGAAAACATCAATCGGATATGTATCGCCAATAACATTACTGCATGGTCACTGGTTTTAGTTATTTTAAATAAATTGGATTACTTGGATTGTTGATTCCAATTGCGCAAATGCTACATGTGTTGTTATTTTATTTAAAATGTTCTTTTATGTTTTTCTGTTGAAAAGTGACTGATCCCTCAATTTACTGTTTTTACCAAGTTTATTTGTGTTTTGTTGTACATTTTGACATCCTGAGGCGAATGATACATGTATTTACAACTATCACGAAATTATTATGGCTTGTGTTCAGCAAAATAAAATAAATAAATTTTTATTTTATGCATATTTTTCCATGGAAATTAGCTTGATCATGTTGTTTTGGTTTAATTCACTTTCTTAAAGGGAAACCGCTCAATCCCATGGATTGCACCAAAGAATCATGGGACACTATTGTTTATGTTGTTTACAATTATGTTAATCTATCTTTTGTTATCCATTGTTATTTTAATCCAGAAAGTAAATTTGTTGTAAAATTAATCTTAACTGGAAGGTGCCCCTTTAAGTACTATGTAGTGAACTTATGAATAGCTGTCAGTATGAAAAAGATCTATCAAGAACAATACCTTTAGATGACATATTTGATGTGTAAATTTTAAACTATAAATAAAAACTTTTAAATTATTAATAAAAAATAAAATGAAAAAAATAAAAAAACAAATAAAAACCTCATCTACCATTCCCAGTACTGTAGAATACTTTATTTTCGCTTGGAATTTATTTTCGCTATTTTCGCTGAAGACATGATTCCGTGAAAATAAAATCCAGCGAATGTATTTTTTTTCCTATATTTCCTATTAAACTCATCAAAAATCAGTGAAAATAAATTCTAAGCAAAACGCCCAAAAAGCCTTTTCAGTGAAAATTAATTCCAGCGAAAATAAAGTATTCCACAGTATTTTTATTTCAATAATCAATATCAGAAACATCAATTTTATTTTATTTGCGCCCATTTGAATTCCTGTTTAAAAAAATATACAAGTTAATATTAACAAACGTGCAAGCCTCAATAGAGTTTAGGACAGTAATCAATTGCCGAGACATGTCAAGGTGACAATGAGGTTTCACTTAATCATTGAAATTCTTTAAAAATCAAAATTGCTCACAGCAGGAATGCAGTTCCACATTGTGTCACTGAAAAACATTGTTACATTTTGTGATACGCTTAGTCAGTATAGAGAAAAAAAACAGTTGCAAATAAGTGCTTTTCAATTTAAGAATGACTAAACGTGTGTAAAATTAATCGTACACAGCTGTGAGCCAAAGTCCTTTTTATTAAGTTGGATAATCAATAATAATTTTTGTATCCCTGTATTTAAATAGAAAAATAATTCAGTCACTGCTGAATAATTGTTTGCAATAGAATTTTGAAACAATTATACCTACAGTGGTAGATCTGTCTGGTGCAATTATACCTACAGTGGTAGATCTGTCTGGTGCAATTATACCTACAGTGGTAGATCTGTCTGGTGCAATTATACCTACAGTGGTAGATCTGTCTGGTGCAATTATACCTACAGTGGTAGATCTGTCTGGTGCAATTATACCTACAGTGGTAGATCTGTCTGGTGCAATTATACCTACAGTGGTAGATCTGTCTGGTGCAATTATACCTACAGTGGTAGATCTGTCTGGTGCAATTATACCTACAGTGGTAGATCTGTCTGGTGCAATTATACCTACAGTGGTAGATCTGTCTGGTGCAATTATACCTACAGTGGTAGATCTGTCTGGTGCAATTATACCTACAGTGGTAGATCTGTCTGGTGCAATTATACCTACAGTGGTAGATCTGTCTGGTGCAATTATACCTACAGTGGTAGATCTGTCTGGTGCAATTATACCTACAGTGGTAGATCTGTCTGGTGCAATTATACCTACAGTGGTAGATCTGTCTGGTGCAATTATACCTACAGTGGTAGATCTGTCTGGTGCAATTATACCTACAGTGGTAGATCTGTCTGGTGCAATTAAACGCATATCAAGGTGACTAAGTAAATACTGTATTTCAGAGACAACAATTGTGACTTCAGTGATTTTGATTTGTTCTTACATATATGGTATACCATAATCTGTTTAATACATTGCTGTAGGCAGAAATATGGCAGTCAGCCACTATCTATTTTATTTTGCTAAAGTGTCTCTCCTGGACCACTAAACAATTGAGTTGTTCTATCGTTAATTTGAGATTCACAGAGTTAACAAAAAAATTAAAATCAACACTGTTTAAAAAAAATAGTTTCACATTAATAAATTAGCTTCTCTGTATTTTACGTTGCGAGTTGTCATTTATTTCACTAAAATATAACTATATATAAAATATATATAAAACTTCAAATAATAAATTAGCTTCTCTGTATTTTATGTTGCGAGTCATCTTTTGATTCACTGAAATATAACTATATATAAAATAAATATATAATATTTATAAAACTTTCAAATTCCAAATTGATACAAAAATCAACACTAATTAACATTAAACAATTGCATAATTGAGAAACGTGGATTATAATTTGTGTAAAATATTATGTGTATAATAAAATTAAAAATCAGTGAATGATTTTGACAGTGATATTCGGATAAATATAATATTGAATTTCAAGGTCAAATAATCAATGCCCTTCTACAGATCAGTATTGTAGTATGCATGTACACAGTGAAATTTAAACAATAATTGGCAAAGATACATGATTGAGATGAGCTAAATTTATTTTTGAAATATGATGTGCGCTATTCATATTTTCCAACAAAACATGTGTTGCCATGGTGATGAAAGCACAATAGATCCTTCACTGTGTATGTCCTATAGGCCATTATATTGATACCATCAGTTGACTCTTACAACTATTAGCATCATGTCTTTCCTGCAAGAATTCACTAGGGAATAAAAATCACTCTTATGCAGTACATGTTCCATGTTTTGAGGGTGGTTGTCAGAATCCAGCTGTTGTATTATTTTAAGTACTGGTAATCAGAAATGGCTGTTTCTGTAATACCACTTGTATATATACCTAATGGTATATATGCTTGTAAGTTTAATCTCTAATATTGTTTCAGTACATTTTTTTTCTTAACTCTGAAGAGATCTCATTAATTAATCTAAAATGAGATTCCAGTATTTTACTCGTTCATTGTCCACAATTCACCAAATATTACCCTCATCACACTGTTTAAATGCTCCAAGTTTGTGTTTGTTGCTAAGCAACTAGAACAATCACTGGTAGTTGACACTTGATCGACTTGTGCTGCAAAAATACTGTTTTAAGCTCAATGCATCGTGAGCTATTGGTATAGCACTGTATCAGATATCTGGCTATTTTCCCAGTAACTACTGACTTAGTTTTTGGTACATGTGGATGGAAATGACTAGGTAATTTGAGTGTTTATAACTGTGTATCCATGGCATTGACATTGAAAATGCAGATGATCTGCACAGTACACTGCTAAATATAGAACAACACTTGATGTTCTTTGATGTCATAAAAATCATCCTACAAAACATAAATAATTCAAGTTAGTTATTTTGATTATGGTGAATTATTAATTTGAAAAAAAAACAACAAAAAAAACAAGACAGTACATGTATCTAAAGGCTTTCATGATGGATGTTCATACAAGTCACAGTAGAGACTGATGTTTATTACCAGTAAGATTTCGTGTTTGATATAATAACAGTGTTTGCTTTTAGCATATTGATTTTCTATGGAATTAGGTTTGAGTTTTGAAATATTAAACTTGTCAGTTATCTACTGCAGTTGTAATCAAATAACACTAGCAGTTCTCGGAACAAAAAATAACTTATTACATATAGATGAATTTGCTGCTATACTGGTATTGTGTTCTTGAAATTTACAAAAATACACAGATATAACAAAACTGAAAAACTGTCGGCTAATGTTCATTAGTTGAATATGCTCATCAATCATTAAATATTTGTTATCTTCTTATAAAGGAAACAAAAATGTTTGCTTTTAATTATTTAATGGAAAATGTGTCTGAAATGATGTTTTTCTCAGTGGCATGGAAACGATGACTTCATAGCATTGTTCGGATAAGCTATCTAATCGTGATGCGTTGACGACTGAAGTGGTTTTCTCGGTTTGCTAGTGAAACTTCTTTTTTATAATACACTTGTACTATATCATCATAAGGTTTGTAGTTTTCTACTCCATGAGAAAGAAATAATTTTTTGTGATATTTTTCTAACATGGTTTGATTGAGTTCTCTAATATGTTTGTCATAATTGTTGATGCATTATACTTGCTACATGTAGAGATCTGAAAAAAATAATATGTAGGAATATTAAGAATAGAGACAATAATGTGTGAATAACTTGAATAACAGAAATTGCTTAGCTTAGTATCGGTAGTACTATTGTAGAGGGATTTATTTTCTCAGGGTTTTGATTTTCTGTCTTCAGGAAATGATATTGTTTTTGTAAATGAACATGTGTACAGTGTATTAAATCCTAATTCTTATTCCTACACCAATTTAAGTAATTTAATTTAATTTTGCTCATATATCTTAGAAGAAAAAGAACAATGATTGAGCTGCTATAGAAATGTCGTCAGTATCTCTTTCCCTATAGTTTCCTTATTCAGCGATGAGTTCTGTCAGTATCCATGGCAACGCAACATGTCGTTGCAGATTGAGTAGTTAATTATAAATAAATATATAAAAGTGATCTGAATATTCTTGACATTTACGTTCATTTCATCCAAATCATGTTCAGGGGAATTTTTAATCTCTATGCAATTTCCGTTTTAATGGATGAAACCATGGCAACCTGATGAAATCAACCGAAATACATGAATATCAGAACCACTCTATTGACCCAATTTGTTAGTATTTATATCAAATCAAGCAACTACAGCAGCAGTCTTATAAGATTCTTCAGATGGCAAATTGGTTTCTGTATTTACACTTTTAACCCTTTTCGTTATTTTCTTTATTTCTACTCAAATTGAGAAGAGAATCTAACACTGCTGTAGATGCTGTACCCGTAGTAGCTATCAACGACTCATGTAAACAGTGACGGTAACTAACTTGTTTTTCAGCAGATTCTTATATCATGATATTGTTTTCAAAAGATACCATAATAAAATCAGTACTATTCTAATTTTCATTATTTTGCAGTAGTTGATATCTGACGTAGATTTGTTGTGACAGTGAATTGCTTAGTTACAGTGTATGCTGATTAATACAGGTATATATCTTTCCCTTCATTGCTTAGCTTTACTTTTTTACCTTATTAAATTTGCTCGATGTCAATGAGTCTGATACTGCAATTCTAATCAAGTCTTAATATACCAACCAATATGTAGTCATCACCGACTCCATATTGCTTTAGCTGTATATCTTTCTGTGTTTGTGATGAACACAAATACTATCTCCATGTTTCTTCCTTTATTTCAAAACATTGTATTCCAGTAAAATATATGAGGTGTAACACTATGAATTGTTTTTATTTTCAGTTTGATGTGTTACTGTGCTATTTTATAATATATTTCTACTGTTGTACAACATTATACATTTCCCTGATATTTTTTGCTGCCATTTTTGTTGTTTTTTAACAAAATTATTATTTACATTCAGATACCAAATAAGGAATTTACGGTGATTAATCTTTTGTGAGCCAAATTTGTTCCCACTCAAATTTGGGTAAATTTTTCATATTTTCTGTAATTCTCACTGAATACAATCCCAGTTTTAGAACAGACAGACAAAATATGACATTGCTTCCAGTTTCTGAAGCAATGTTTGTGTGAAATAGAGCAGACTATAAAATAAACTGTTTTGTGGATGGTGCCTGAAGTTGACGTGGGCACTCAAGTTAACCTTTTCACCACCAGTTCCTTCTTTTCATCACAAATTCACAAAATAGTCCTTTTTTTGAAAAGATTGGGACAAAAATAGCCAAATATTTTGAGTAACTACTGAAAATTGACCCAAATGTTGTCAGTTGGCCCCACAATTAGGGTACTTTTCAAGAAATATTGAAGAATATAAGAAAAAAGTGAGTACAATTTTACTCGAGAACGTCTGGTGATGAAAAGGTTAAAGTATTCACTTCTACATACATGTAATTTGTACAATCATGTACTTTTTTGTGGATAGGTGAGAAATAGAGAATTTATTGAGCAATAAAGTGTGTATTAAATTAATGCTTACATATAATGTTTATTTCCAAAATAATCGCATGTGAAAGAAATGCCTGGAGGCTACAACTCAAGATTTATACGCTCACTAATTCACATAATCATAGGGTGTACATGTATCATTGACCAGTGCCAGTGTGAAATGAAAACCGTGTTTATGTTTAAGTAAAAACAAAACAAACAAATGCATGATTTAACCTTTTCACCACCGGATTTTCTCACTGATATTTTTTGCACTTTTTTCTTCAATATTTCTGGAAATGAACCCTAATTTTGGAGCCAACTGGAAAAATTTGGGTCAATTTTCAGTTTTGACTAAAAAAAGTTGGCTATTTTTGTTCTAGTTCTAAAGGAAAGTGTAGAATATCAACTAGACTACTGGTATTTTGTGAATTTGTGATGAAGAGAGGGTACTGGTGGTAAAAAGGTTAAAACCAAAATACCAATGAAGCACCTCTCACATATTTTTTGTGTGCTAAAACTAAAAACAGTGATGTGAAAAAAAAAATATTCGTGAGGTGATCCTTATCTTCTTTGACATGTTTGTGTAGGATAAATGTTACAATTCAGATATTTCCATGTTCATCCTCATATTATGTTTGCTACATAATAAACTGGTTTAAATTATTGAATGTTGAAACTTTTTAGTAACTGTACTGATAATCAATGCTACCCGTGAAAATAATATGCATAACAATTTATATTCTTTAAAATCAATGACCGGGAAGTTCGTAGATACAAAATCTTAAAAAATGTTAATCAATATATATTGTGTTATAGAGACAGATTGGCATGGATTCTGACATACCAGTGTTTACTTTACCATGAAATAAAACAGTCAAAAATAAATTGCCCTTCCAGCCATGTCTGAATTTCTAAATATTGCACAAAGGGTTAAATTTTTCAATTAAATATAAATATTTATTTTTTTCACATGTGCACAAACTTGCAGAAGGATTAAATGATTCTTCACATACAAATACGACTTTTTTTAACCATGCAGACATATATAAAATTCACATATAAAAATAGTATTGCTTTTTAGAAATAGGGGGCCACTATCAGACATTATATTTATTAATTGGAAAAAAAAATCATTGCGTTTACAGTTTTACCAACATATTTTATTTCCAAATCACTTTTCATTTTAAAGTTGGCTTGAATTTTATTATTGAAATCTCAGAAATTGTAGTTTAATACCGGTATTGTGAAATTATATACGAGAACACCATGGTAACCTAAGATTACTTTGTCCACTATAAGGATAGTGTGGTGGTAAAGTATAATGTATAAGCAATCCTGTTTTAATGAACTATTGAAAATTAATTTCCGTCAATCATGTTTTTTCAAACCATTACCTAGATTTTATTATAATACTTCAATCTATTCAATGGTAGTGCTGAATAGATTTGTTTATATTGACATGAGAAACTAATTAAATCGATTCTAGCCATCAAAATACGTCCTTTTCAAGGAAGTGCTTTATTGAGCTGTTCATTGTTGTCATGGTCTTGGGTTTCCACTCCTTGTATCATAGTTAATAACTTTTCAATGAGTCATTTGACATAATCTGCTTTGAGGTTTAATCAACATACATACATGCATTTTATTTAACATTTCACCTGAACTTAAATTGACCTGTGAATTTAGAACATTGCAGCCTTTTGAGATTGCATTCGCTGGGCTCTTAAGACTTAAGTTTCAGCGACTTTTGAGAATAATCATGAATCAAATTGAACTGATATGTGAATACATGTGTATACAACATAGTGTATGCTATACAACATAGCAACTCCATCAAATAAGTCTGCAGGCAGTTTAAATGCAATGGCATATATAGTGGCTCAGTAGTTCTATTCTTATACTAGTTTTCATGTTTATTCTTCCATACTTAGTTACATTTATTCAATGTTTTATCTGTGATTTTAGTGGAGTAAATTGAACTTCAGTTTAGCTTTGTCCTAAACAATAACATTAGCTTATGTTTTTTCCTTGTTCTATAATTATATGCTATTTGTGATACTACATGTAGTTGTGTGAAGTATTATTTCTGTTTTTGTTTTACAACAATAAAATTACTCTCTGTAGTAGATTTTCGTGTTGAATAAAATTATTATTATATTACAATTTATAATACATAAAACTATGTTGTGTCATTTGAGCTAAAATATTTTTTTTTTTGAAAACTGGCATTTAGTTTGTCCTGTTTATATATATCCTATTTTTATTAAATATATATGAATCATTTTCACTATTTTATATTTGGGAAGATAAAGACAATTCTTCAGACTATGTAACTCCAAATGGCAAACCTTATCAATCCATAAATCAGTTAGTTTGAATATTGTGACAGGAAAAGACTCTCAGTATATTTAGTATAATCAGGAAAATATAGTTGTATGATGCTTTAGCTTTCTTGTTAAAGTTGACAGTATACAACTGAAAAGATATTTAATCTACTGTAAAATACTTTATTTTAGCTGGAATAAATTTTCGCTAAACAGACTTTTGGGGTGTTTTGTATGGAATTTATTTTCACCGATTTTTGACGAGTTGAATGTAAAATATAGGAAAAAAGGTATATTCACTAAATTCTATTTTCACTGAATCATTCCTTCAGCAAAAATAGCGAAAATTAATTCCAAGCAAAAATAAAGTATTTTACAGAAATCGATAATTGTTATAAAAAATAATGATGTTTGATACAAAATTGAAGCTCAGAAAAAAGGATGTGTTTGAACTGCATGTATTCAAAGTGAACACAATTATTAACCACATACCAAATTAAGAGTATATATCACGCACATGTAACCATAGCAACTAAAACTTACTATAATATACTTTAAAATGTTTTCGATACTCATAAAAATAATAATAATAACTTAATTGCAGATGAATATGATTTTAAAATTTACTAACTATCTGCGTTGTGTGGTGACAAATACCAGATGAGTTTGTTATTCTCTATGCTGAAGAAGCCATCAACGCTTGCTACAACAACATCATTATAGTGTCAATATGAATGATCATTAAGTGTGATGCCTAATCAAATTGAAATGGCTTGATCAGTATACACATAACGATGTGTGTTCCCATCTCAAATGTAAACTAGGAATAAAAATGTATTTATTTATTACAGATTTAACATTTGGCTGTATGTCAATAATCCAACATAATATATCTCACACATGCTTTAAAAAAAAAAATTATTGCACTGTATTTGCTCTGTTATAAGCATGCACCTCCAAAATAAGTGCTTGTAAACCAACAGTTTCATGTAAGCTTAATCATTAAAATATGATATTTGACCCTAACCACACCACTATAATTTAAAATAAACACATACATTGCCAATAGAACAACTACAGTATGTTTATATAAATCAATTATTCACCTAGTACTAGATCCTCAGTAATTGAAGTCAAGGTCAACATTATTAAGAGAGACATTGTTTTATATACAGTTAATTTAATTTAATAATTTGGCCTCTACTTTATCTGATCTTAATATGTTTTTCATGTATTAAATTATTCACTGTATTTTGTTGAAGATGACATGAATTATATATATACCATTAATTGAGATGTGTTCATTTCAGAAACTCTATCAGTTAATGATGTCATTATAATATTCACTGTTGACATTATCAAAACCAATTGTTTTTATTTCCTGTAGGTATTGAATTCTTAATGGTTCATATCTGCAGTACTAAATATCATGCAAACAGCAGAGATGTTAAGCTGATGTTTACCAGACTTCGAAATTGAAATATTTGAAATACAGTACTTAGATTATTCAATTTCTCACATAACTGTGGTGAAAACAGAATTATGAGTCTTGCAGCTACCTATGCGAAGAATGTTGCAGGAGCTAATTTGGACAGAAATACCTCCAGTCTGTTTGATTTAAGTCGTAAACCACAGGCGACAGGCTCCAGCTATGTGACGTTAAGTTGTGAACCAAGTCACTATGGAAGTTTACACACTACAAGAAAATCCCGGACTAATTTAGAAAATTCATATCGTATGGAACCCACTAAGAAGTAAGTGTTTTGGTTATGTGTATTTGATATGCTTTGTGTACATGCTTTATGACATATTTGAATGAAACATTCTTTCATACACAAAGATATGTACTAGTATATAATGTTGTTTGCTGTTGTTGTTCTTGATTACACATCCAACCATATTTGTTCTCGCCAAAAGAATTGTTGGTTTATATGCACTTCTATTGGAAATACGTTTCCAATAGAACAAATACAGTATCGGGGTGTGTCTTGTTTGATTAGTATATACAGTTTGATTAGTATATATACATGTATATACATATAGATAACATTACTTTCACAAAATTGTCATGGAATATCATTTTTGTTGGCATATCCATGCTTGCCTTTTAAATAGTGTTACGCTGTCATGTGTAAGGCCTGCTTATTGCTATTGAGAGGGGCACTCACAGATCTCACACTGGACAGGGGGTTCTTTCACTGCTAGAATGGATTAGACAAGACAATAGTACTGGAAGTGAAATACACATACACCAGAATATAAAGTTAAAGCTCCTGGCTTTAATACCTCACAAAATAATTACACGAAACGAAGCACAGAAAAATACAATGAATAAATTCACTAAAATACGGGATTGCCTAGGGAAGTGTGCATTGGTGATAACTCACAGTTCCAGGATGTGGAAATTGATGAGAGTCAATGGCTTCTGCAACAATTCATCAAGTAAGACATCCTGCTAATAAACAAAATTATATGTCAAAATATATATTTCCAGTATAAGCTAGCTAAAAATAACTATAAATAATATAACAGCACTGAAAATTGGCATGAACAATTTTTCAATAAAACTAAAACATGATCCACATTGAACATTATCTAATGTAATGCACTGATCAACAAAGTTAAACAGAAAAAAATATTCATTCTGATAGAAGTCTTTCAAACAAGCTAGTCTATGGAAAAGATCAAGACTAGGAAAACAGTGTACAGTTTACACAGACTTCCCATTTGCTGACAGTTCTCACTGTATATATTTGACTTGTATATTGCAGGTTTGTTAGTGATAAAATTCAACCACTAATCCAGACAGTATTAGAAGAGAAGTTATCTCATGAAACTTACAATGCGGAGAAGTGTGCAGAACTTAGTAAATCTATCTCCCAAGAAATTAAACTCAGGATAAAAGCATTGCATTATGATAGATTCAAGGTAAGATAACATATCACTGGTTGACTGTGTATGGCTTTTTTCCGGCTTTGCCGAATAGAATAATAGAATGAAGAGAAAGTCAGTCGTTTGCCATCATCGTCATTGTAATCGTTGTTGTTGTAGTGAACTTTTCTTGTGAGCGCAATAACTCTAATAACTGATTGAATCAAATTAAATTGTTTTTTTAGCTCCGCTGTCGACTTTGTCGAGCGGAGCTTATCATATGAGTGATTGTCCGTCGTCGTCTGTCGTCCGGCATCCTGCGTCCGTCGTCCGTGTCAATGTTTTACTTATTTGACTTCTTCTTGAAAACTACAAGCCTGAATGCTTTGATACTTGGTGTATATATAGCTTGGGTAGACGTCTCTCAGATTTGTTCATTTCATGATCATATCTGAAATTCTCTAATTTTGGCGAATATTTTGTCATTTTTGGTAAAAAGTGATATTTTCGACTTCTTGTTAAAAACCGCAAGTCCAATTGCTTTGATATTACATATATATAGATACTACATGTGGACCTCTCTCAGATTTGTTCATTTTGTAATAATATATCTTTAATTCTCTAATTTTGGTGAATATTTTTGTCTTTTTTTGTAAAAAGTGATATTTTCAACTTCTTGTTAAAAACCGCAAGTCCAATTGCTTTGATATTACATATATAGGTACTACATATGGACCACTCTCAAATTTGTTCATTTCATGATGACATCTTCAATTCTCTAATTTTGATGAATATTTTTGGCATTTTTGGTAAAATGTGATATTTTCAACTTCTTGTTAAGAACTGCAAGTCCAATTGCTTTGATATTACATATATAGGTACTACATGTGGACCACTCTCAAATTTGTTCATCTCATGATGATATCTTCAATTCTCTAATTTTGGTTAATATTTTTGTCATTTTTGGTAAAAAGTGTTATTTTCGACTTCTTGTTAAAAACCGCAAGTCCAATTGCTTTGATATTACATATATAGGTACTACATGTGGACCATTCTCAAATTTGTTCATTTCATGACGATATCTTTAATTTTCCAATTTTGGTGAAAATTTTTGTCATTTTTGGTAAAAAGTGATATTTTCTTCTTGTTAAAAACCACAATCATTTATGGTGAAACATGATATTTTTGAATTCTTGAATGCATTGATACTATGCATATTGTTGGTGATCCGCTTCGCTAGGATTGCCCTTATAATCACTTTTGTCGTTTTGTGTGTGTGTGTGTGTGTGTGTGTGTCTGTGTGTGTACATTTCCAGTGTTCCAGTGTTCACGTATTATTTCTTCTGTGATTTTTTTGGCTTGGCCGATTTCGTTCAAACTTGGCAGGTTGGTCA